GAGCTAGCATGACCAGGTCCCAGGTCTGATGAGTGTCCCGCACTACACCTGGGCCCGAGAAAGATTGGAAAGTCTTGGACCAGATTCTTGAAGATCCCTCCTTCGAATCCTTCGTGAGCTCAGATTCTAAACAAAACACCCTGAATCCGGGCAAGGAAGCCCCATCAACTCCGCCCGTCACTCAAGTGGCCCGGATGGATCCACACCGAACGAGCACGACCAGTCGGATGGTACTGTAGCGAAGGACCGTGACGTCGGTGGGTCAACCAAAGTAGCACTTCCGTTTTGACCACTGCCATTGGCCTCTACAACCATCCACTTTCATGTGAGTTTTCCTCGGAGTGTCCGTCTTGTAGATGACCGGCTCCGTCCGTTCGTCCCCCTTGCCATTGGATCTCTTCAAAGACTGCCGAGAAAGGCCCCCCCCCTCCCGGTCTTCGTTCAGCGGTCAAGGTGCCAAGGCTTCGAACGGCGGTGGCGCAAAGGCACAGTACCTCAGGTGCGAGTTCGAAAGAAACGATGAGCACGTTTTCTCCCCGGACTAAAAAGGTCCGGATCGGCTGGTTCCATAGAGTCTACATGAGAGAAAAAACGATGAAAGAATCTTTATGTGTTTGAACACCTGCTGTTTGTTCTATCAATGAGACAGAAAGAGGCGCCTATGACATCCATGCAGGTAAATATGACCAAAGCCAAAGGTATGCCTAAAACCACCATCTTGCTCAAGGTCTGTGTTTGGGTCTCAAGATCCCCTCAGAACACCTCCCCCTTCTCAACAGTACAAATAACACAAATAAAACTAAACATGGTGTGAACGATGAACGGTGTGTTCACATGCTGTTCTTGATGTTGCATCGGTGACGGCGACGGGTGCCAAACTTCTTTGCAACCTTTGCTTTGACAGCCCCCTTTTTTCTCGAGCATCACTCTGATCCTAAGGATGCCTGAGCTCCTCCAGTGAATGCGCAGATCATTCTTGCTATCCAAACAACCTTCCCAAAAATCGATACACCTTACACCTAAGTACGACCCGGTAGCAGGCATGAACCATTTCAGCTGAAGCTCTTCACTTTAAAAGTAATAGAAGCTCAGGGATTGGAGTCAAGCGGCTTGAAGTACCAGTTGCCATCCAACATGTCTGCTGTCCTGCTTCACGACGTGAAACCAGGTCACAACACATCCTCTTAACCCTCTTACATCCATGTACGAAAAGGACATAAAAAGACCAATCCCCTCCCAAGTATTCGAAGTCGTGACTATTTTAATTGCAAATACTCTGTAGTGTACCCACAAAAATATCACCAAATACCTCAACTGTAGGCTATTGATTCATGGAATCCCTGGAAAAAACACCGACGCGGTCAAGACACCGTTCCATACCACAACAAGGAGCTTCAAACGGTTGAGCTCCGCTTCCGTAAGGTGGAAACGGGGATAGCCCAAAGGGGCACACAAGAACCCTCCAAAGTTGGCCCAACATGTTGCTGCGGAACTGACTGCACGAAGTCTGAGCCGAACTGACCGACTGACCTCCGCACGTGCTAGGAACTGAGCGTCGACCACGTGGGGAGGGACTCGTTGGTTCTTGGTGCCTTCGTGATTCTTGGTGCACCAGCTTCCCTCCATACTTTACTGTCAAGTGTTTCGGATGCACTCCTTGCCCATGCCCTTTCTGACCGCTTGATTGCATGGCAGCACCTGAGATGCCAGCGAAACAAGAGATGCCTGATGTGAGTGATTCGCCAGAGTAAATGGACCATGCTTAGCTAGAGCAGCAAACTTAAGCACTGCAAAAAGCTATTGGATTTTTGGTGAGTAACCATGAGCAACCTATAGGAATGTTGCAACCTCAATTCACACAAAAGATCAAACATGTTGACTATTCCTCATCTCCCATGCATCGCTACTGAACACCTGCCTTCGCACACTGCTGGACTTGGATCACTGCCAAACCTGAAAAAGTGCACACACACCACACGTGCCTAACACATCCCAACCACACCCCCCCCCAAAAAAAAGAACACCCCCTTTTGCTCCGCGGCACTCGATGTGCCGCTGCATGGCCTCCTTACTCTTCGGCCCCTTCCGCGCGTTGTACCAGGCCGACCGGGTAAAGTTCACCTCCGCAGCACCCCGCAGGACCGGGCGCCGCGCCGGCAGGACGCGCTGACCGGCGATGTGCGGTCCCCGGCTCTGCGAAGGGCTCGATGGCCAGGATGAGAATGGAGGAACAAAGGGACCCTTGCAAATGGCATGGGAAAAAAAGGGTGCTCGTCAGGTCAATGACCACGGGCCAAATGAACTGAACATCACTTGAAGCTTTTCTTGGGTGAGGCAAACCTTGAAAGAAAAAGTTGTACGCATATACATTATATAATATAGACTTAATCCCATCACCCTCTTGGTTCCGCCGTGAACTTGATCCGTGAACTTGGTTTCCATCCGTTGAGTTTCTTGGAGACTCCATCTGTGCGAAAAACCTGCCTGTGGACACGGACGCTCTTGCTGCAAGCAGTCCTGGGGCGGTACGGAGTTGGTCAACACCCGAACGAACCGCTGGACGCATCAGGACCAACCTAACCCATGGCAGTCCACCAAGAGTGGAGACATTCGTCGGACGAGCTAGAGGTTCATTCGTCGTCGGTTCAAGTGAAAAAGATTCAGAACCTTCAGATGGTGATCCCCTCAATAGAAAAGAAATGGTCCTTCCCCCTTAATTAAAAAGAAATAGTAATAAACAGACACAAGGTGTTTTCCATCGCTATCCTATCTACTGAGGGACTACCTAGGTACTATTGTGGTCCAACTGTCAACCGATCCTCGAAGGAAGTCGCGGTGGCCACCGCACGCCGTGCGGGCGTGTGGCCAGGAACAGAGGCACCTGGCGCAGAGGTGCAGACTTACACGACTTGCAAAAAAGATGGCACATTCTAAGCAACAATATTGAGTTCATATCAGGCAAAATCAAAAGATGCAAAATATGTGTATATGTATATAAGAAGCAACAAAACTGCAATTCAGCAACTGACTACGACGACCAGACTACCCCGCTAGGACTACCCCGCTGTCAGGCTGGCACATCAAGACTGCATCAGCAGACTCAAAACCTAAAACCCCAAACACCTGGCCTTCCAGCCATTGGGAGTCTCTCCGGGTCCACGTGGGAGGGGTCCACAGCGGCACCCGCACCCGTGCTCACCGAGAGTGAGGTCTTTGGACCGTGAGGTCTTTGGATCCAAAGGATGATAGCAATGATAAGCTTAAAAAGACAATATTCTTTTGATTTACTCATAGCAATGGCCTCCAACCTACTAGCAGTGGCCTCCGACCTAATAACAATGTTTCAACTGTGCATCATTGATCCTAATTTGTCACTGTCTTTCACCAGTCATGTGTTTTTAACTGGTGAGTTTCAATGAACTGTTGCCGATCCACTGTCTCGAGCGTTGTTCTCTTGTTCGACGGCATTGTTCCTCTTGCCCCAGGACCATTGACCAAAATTCAGAGAAGGGCATTCTCAGGTAGATTACAGTGAAGGAAGCTTGAACGTGTGATGCAGCCTTCATGACATGAGACACATTGAATGCATTGATCAATAACAATATTATAACGATGAGACTAATTACTAACACAAAGACACTTAAAATAAAAAACGAAAAATAAGATGAAAGTCAGTATCTAGCCATGCAGATCTCGCTTGAGCCCATAGGTAGGGCCATCGACATCGATGTCTCCCAAACATCGATAAGCCAAAAAACACACGGAAGGCGCTTCTCGTGGAGCGCATGTATTTTTTGCGGGAGAAGTCCAGTCGATGCTCAGATGGTCTGTGAAAAAGTCCAATCTTCCACACCAAGCCTCTTCCCCACGAAGCTGTAGTGGATGAGAGTGGATGGCACCCTAAGATGTCTTTTATATAGGGACCCATGTCTTCAAACAAACACACCCTCATGAGCATTCCCGAGGCCAGCAGATTCATCATCTCAAGGGTCTCCTCAGGCATGGGGTCTGATGGCAACACCCGGTCAGCTCATTTGTCCCACAGAGGACCGAAGTCCGTCGATCGCCCTTTCGCCCGGACTCGCTTGGTTTGGACTCGCTGCCCCAGAGCTCTGTGTGAAAGTACTCGCTTGGTTGACCTGGTTGGTTCAAAAACCTCGTACCTTGAGGAAAGGTGTCAGAGGAGTTCCAACAAAAAAGCGGAGTTTGCCTTGCGTCCTCATCCTTCCCTTTTCACTGCAGCCTCCATAGCTCCCACGCCATCACGCCACCTTGACTAGAGTTTCATGTGTCGGCTCGGCTGTGCTGTTGTTTTCATTGGGAACCACAGGTGCAGCACTGTTCAAGGTAGAGATCCTACTCCTTGAACTGGATACATGGTTGTCATGGTTGTGGCTCCAAAATGAAGGCCCAGAACCGTACGTCAGTGGCATGGTCGATTTAGGCTTTGCAGGAACGGCGGTATGGGATGGCACAGGAGACACAGCCACATTCTAAGGGTTTGATCCATCCTCATTAATCATTGGAGTCATAACCTCATTAGTCCGCTGCAGCATGCAAGGCGCACTATTCGTCACTATTCAGTCAAAAATATACGCTGCATACTGGAGCCAGCCCATTTAAAAAGATGGAGGTTCAAACCCGCAGAGACATCTGGTGTGAAGGTACAAAACCCGCCACTGGTGGGCTCTAGTGAGGAAAGAACGAGCAAGAGAGGCAGTGATCTGGATTGAGGAGCCTGATCCCATGACAAAACGACCAATGGCACATAGAAGGTTGTGAGGTCTAAAGCTGGAAAGCTGGACTGACAATGCAAACAGTCTCATGACGTCTCATGGACAACTCCATGAATCCCGGTGATCCTCCCAAGCCGGCCTTCGACACGGTGGAGAGCTTCGCACAAAAGACCCGTAGATCCAAGCGGAGAAGCGAAGCGTCGCTTCTCTCGGCTGCTAGGGAGGCGCATCTGTCACATCTGGCTAGAATCCTTGCATCACCTCCTATCCTTGCATCAGGCCTCTATGCTGTGAGGCGCCGCAATCGATGTACAAACAGATCGCGGAGAACGGGACGGCCACAACCGCTCCTGCCACAACCCCTCCGCAAGGACTGCGACAGCCGTCAAGTTTCCGGTTCTCCTGGTCATGGGCTTTCAATTGATCTTCAAATCCTGAGCACGAGGTGTTCCGCACAGAAAGACCATGCCTGCCCCACAGAGACACGAAGCGTGAACGGGCCACCTTGAGTTGGAAGAAGCCTGCTATGGGCAAACAGCTGCCAGGTATCAAGGCACATGCCACACGTATCATCAGCAGCCTTCCTTTAGCAGCAGCCTGAAGTGCATCTTCAACTCTCTGAAATTGCCGACCGTCAGCTCATTGGACATACTTCTAGCAGCACACTTCAAACGCTGAAAAAAGCACGGCATGTCTGCATCCTTCTCATATGAGACTGAAGCTGATTCTCAGCAACCTGGCTGGAGTTCACCTTCCTGAAGTTGGACCTGCTGCCCTTGTTTGGTCTTGGCCACTCTGCTTTCCGTTTGGTCTAGGTCCCGCAGCTCATCTTCCCGTCTCAAGCTGATCTTGCGTGCGCCATCGTATTCTTTGGGGAGACGTGGACTCCTCTTCCTGTACATGTTGTTCCTCTGCTGCCCGGCGACCGTTCCCACTCCAGGACTCTGCGACTCCGGGTCTCGGCGTCCATCGGCCTGAGGGAAGTGTTCGGCTTTTCAAAGCAGCAAACAGATGGTGTCGCACTGTGTACCCAATCCATTTGAGAGAAACGAGCAAACATCAAAGGACGACTGATGATGTTAGGTGATCAAAGGACTCAGTTGGGTGGTTGAAAGATCATGAAATAGTGATACAAACTTGCTGACCTATTCACCTGGGGATTTGATTTGGGACCGCAAACGAATTCTGATCATCATTCCTGTAGAGAAGCTAACTTCGATCTAGCTGATGTTTGCAATACTTTCATCTGGATGAACCCCTAAGACTAGGCATGACAGTCATGAGCTCGCTTTCTTCATGTGTCTTGAACCATGTCAATGTCCCGCTCGCGTCCTTCGGTCGTTCGTGCCTCCGCTTTCATCACCCCCACGAGCCGTTCGTGGCGCAGTCGGTCGAGCGCCAGACCTTCATGCCCTGCAAGGCGGCGATCTTGGGCTTGCGACCCACCTTGAAGTTGGCGTGGTACGAGACCTCGGTCCGAGGCCAACGATACAGTCAGGCTGTAAAAAGAAGCCCGACTGGCCAGCTCACTCGTCAGTCATGACCTTGTAGAGAGAGGACCTCGTATGTCTTACGGGGTCCCACAATCCAATTCAGGATCCACTGGGTGTCACAGTCCATGCGTTGGGAGATCTGTGGCCCCAGCAAACTGGCTTTGTGATAACCATCAGGGGCATGTTGCTTGAGTTCAGGTGGCACGCTTGCATAGCTTGCGCGCCAAGACAGAGTACGCTGCCTGTACATCAGTGCTAAAAGATTCGACCGAAGCCCTGCTTCCACCAGCAGGCTGCCAGCAGGCTGCCAGGCTGCAAGGACTGAAGCATCACCTCCACCTGTACAAAAGCATACTGAGCTCAAAAGGGCTTTGCTCTTGGCCTCCATTGCTTTACAGTGCTTTACAGTGCTTTACATGAAGAAGGACAACAGCCCGATGTCACTCTTGCTCCGCTTGATGCTCGGCATGCAAGCCTCCTCATCCACTTCCAGAAATGTCTTGCGCACCACAACTTTGGTTGGGAGCTCCTTACTGCACTGGTCCTGCCCCGAGGCATCCACTGCAAAATGTGCAGAAGCCTCTTCAATCAAGCTGGGCGCAGTCCGTCCACCGTTTGCAAAGCGGTAGGCTGACTTTTGGCTCCGCATGACTTCTAGGACACGATGTCGCACCTCTTCCCAGCGTGCACGAGGAACTACGCATTGATAGGGCACCAAGGGCTGTCCATCCAATTGGTCGAAGGTCTCCATCGGCAGTCCGAGCCCTTCAGTGAGTTTCCGCAAGTACTGCGCGCAGCGGAAGTCGCTGCACCTTAAGCTGTAGCGCCTCCAAGTTGAGGTGCCAAAGCGCTCGTGGCTCATGGTAATGACCTCAGGCTCATCCGGCTTGGCCGGAAGCAGCGGTGGCCCTCGACGGAAATTTTGCAATGACAGGATGATATACAAGTTCGCATCCGCAGCACGCATCAATTTGAGTCCAGGCCGGTTTGCATAATATTCAAGAGCCCTGTGTGTGGTCTGGGCCATCACTTTGAAGAATTCGGAGGCCCACTTTGCCCACTTGTCTCCAGGCGTGCTATACACGAGCACCATTCGGAAGCCCCTGCCATCCTTTTCCTTGCGCCAAATCATCATGTTCTCTTGCCCAATCCCATCATGATCTTGGAAACACGCATACGTGCTATCACCGGCTTTGGGGAAGTTCTTACGGCATTGGTGCCGCGCCAAGACGGGCGTTTCGTTGTAGAAGAAGTGGTTCCATGCGGGTCCGGCGAAAGAACCAAAGAGCAAGGCCGCCGCACGATGGAAGAAGTGATGGCTGGATTGCTCCACCAAGGCGTCTCCCGGTGCCAAGGTCTTGATCCAACGAATGGACATGGCATCCATCGAGCGATCGTGCATCTGCCCGCTCACTTCGGGCCTCACCATCACATCGCATGCCTGGTCGAGCGCGTTTTGGTTGAGGTCGAAGTTCTGCACCTCGAACCTCACGAGATGGCCAGGAGCATGAAGATGGGAGGGACGATGAGATAAGGTGACTCCGGAGTGGGACGCGGCCAGCTCCCAGCTTGATTCAGAGATGAACTCATTTGCCATGCTGAACCATGCATTGATCCTCTCCCGTGTTGCCACCATTGTAGTAGCTTTTTCTTCAGCTGTGGTAGCTTGAGCCAAACAACGGGAGAACTTGTCCAACAACAAATGCGTACCAGGGAAGCGACTGTTGATTCTACTCAATTCACTACTTCACAGTGTTACTTCTGGTTTGAATGGTAGATTGGCTGGACCCACCACCAATTCTTCGCCCCATGTCCCACCGCCGCAGTGCTGCAGTGCTGCCAGATCACTGGACCATGTTCATCTCTCTTGCCCCAGCCGGTGCGATGCACGTAGGGATCCATTTCGCAATACTCCAGGATCTCTGCCTAAGATCAAAGGCTTTCAGGTGCCCCCATCTGATCCCCAGGGACCGAAAATGACGTCGAAAGTGCTTCCGCAAGGCGTCCAGGATCTGGTTCCGCAACTCTCCGATGTCTCACCGCTGGCTGGTTTGAAATGAGCGCAAACACTTCCCGGATACGGCTTCTGTGAACTTTCTGTGCAAAAAAGTATACTGTGTTACGCAAAATTGTACAATTCCTGGACCCTGTAGTAGATTGAAAAAGGAAAATTACTGTTTCTATGTTCACACTCACCCGTTGTGACGCCACCCCCCTTCTTGCGCAAAACTGGTGCGCGTGGCCTGGGCACTGCTGTTGCACTGGCTCTCCTGGCATCAAAACAAAGTGACAACCGAATGGTGTGTAATTGGATGTAATTAATGAGAACATTTAGATTGGTTGATGATACGCGCAACCAATGCATTTGGTCGATCTTCCCAAAAATCCAACTGGGGGTCGTCAAAGGCTGCCGGCTTAGCTGGTCCACCGAATATTCCGATTTCGAAGTGAATATGGGGCGAATCCACCGAATACCCGCGTGGTACGCAGAAGTGGTACGGAGAAGTGAAGCCAACTTGGGCGATCACAACCCACAAAATCCACACATCAACCAGCCACAGTTTCAACAGCCAGCACAGCCGCAACGAGTTGCAGCCCTCGCCAGTCAACCAACTTGCCATGAAACCTAGGGACCTTCGCGGTAAACGGCTACGAAGGTAAACAACCACCGCAGCCTTTTGGCCAAAGAGAGAGTACCCCAACAGCAAAAGCTTTGTTGTGCTGATTGAAATCGAAAAAGAAACACAAACGGCAAACGGTTTGCTTTTTGTCACATATTCCCCCTTTCCAGCACATCCGTCCTGACGGCACATCCGGAAGCAGGGCGAGACGTTCACCTTCCGGAGCCGCCGCAGAGCGCTCCAGAAGTTGGGCTGACCATCCATGTTCGGCCGCTGGCGACACTCCTGAGACATGAAGCCCTGAGTAACTTCTAGTAAGGCACCTGTTCCTAGTAGCGTGGCACTTGTTCCTAGTAGC